TTTATCGTGTAGATGCCACACCCCTAATGAACGAGTTTAAACAGCTTTGTAGAGGCTGTACCATACACAAGGGAACCAATGTAGGAAGTTCATGACCTTGGCGACAGTGGAATGGAGTTTTGGACAATATTGGCTTGATGAATTCTGCTCTTTGCACGACGGGAACAAATTAAATCTCGTCCAAAAACTCCTCACATGCCAATCCTGCCACGGTAATCTCGTGCAACCTTCACTCCCACCACTTTTAAAAAGCTTGAGGTTGGAGAATTTTCCCGCTTTCTTCTCTACTGGTGTACTCCTCTACATAACACCGCTTTTTAACCTAAAGAGAAAACCTCGAAATTATCGTGGACTGTGCCTTTAAGCTCACCGCCTGCTGAGGAAGTGTTCAAAGAGGGTGCGAAAAAGCTCGATTCTCAAAGTTTCTTCTTAGTTTCTGGAGCTTTCTCTAGAGATCTACTGATCTAGAAAAAAGATGAAAGGTACCGTGCGATAAAAAAGAAGTGTTTCGAAGCAATGTATTCCACGTAACTTACCATGCTCTCTGCTTCCTCGAAATAGTACAGCATAATTTCAAGTTCCGTATTGATACATTGCTCACTTCTGAACAAAATACTCCGGAGATTGCTATACCTGCATGATGTAGCGGCAAAACAGTAGTGCGAGGAAGATCAGAGCCCATTTGTAGGAAAACGCTTTGAGATATGTCAAGTATACATTGATTTCAATCTAAACGATGACTTCAATATGATAGGAGTAGAACATTTTTTGCAACAATACTTACACTTCCTACTGCGACAGCTTCTGATTGCCTAGTATTCGGAGGTTGTTGTGGCTCGAACATGACTGTCTTCGGCTTCTTGGACCGTCTAACCGCTGTAATCTATATCTTAAACTTTCAAGTTTGCGATTACACGGCGAACTCAAGGAGAGGTCTGTCATAGTGTACACATCCTTCACAATACTAAGTTTATGCTTGCAACACAAGGGAGGCAGCGGTGAGTGGCGGCCTACTCATGCACGGGTCTTTCATCAAGTATGGAGGGGAGGGAGAACACGGGACGTAGCTTTCTTTTCGTCTTTTCGTTCAGAGCTCTTGTGAAGAAGTGCGACCACCGCAAAGGCGGCGTTTGTTTGAGGTCCCGAAATATCCATTCAGTGAACGCCTCGGTCTAACGATCATTATAACAATGCACACGTGTCCGGTCTACCTGATTTTCGATTCCTTGGCCTAAGCACAGCATCACTGATCTTTGTTCGTAGACCAAGCTCGGAACTCTAGATTCCCCTCCGCACTTGCGTGTACTGAGGACTTCCGAGCATCGTCCTTTCTACGTACGATGGGTAACGCTAACCGCATGCACATGCTGTCTTCGTTGAGTCCAGGCCTCCGATGCGTATGTCAGAGGAGGAAGGAGTGCAGTGTCAAAAAAGGGAAGCAAAAAGTCAGATGTCCTTCGCCTTCTTGACCACTCCCTCGATACTCTCAGATCCCCGCGCCGCGCGTTTCCTTCTGCTCAGCTCCGTAGCTAGATCGTCGATCACTCTGATCTCTTGAACTAGATACGCGTAGCTAGAGCTTCCAGAGAAATTCATTCAGTTCAACATGATGAAGCATCAGGTACCAGTTCGTTTCTCAAAGACATCATCTTCGGATTCGTCAGCATCCGGCGTGTGATTGGCTCGATTTTGCTTGCAAATGGGAGTCGACGTAAGTGGCCTTCATCCTTGTCTCCCGTATCCTCCCATTATACATAAATGACGTACTGAAAAGTTTAGGCAAGATAGTATCGCTTAGAAGATCTGGTCTCCACGTTGTCAGTGACTACCTCAAAGGATGGCAGAACCCTGAACGTGAATTCGAGCTCAAGACGTATACTATTTAATAAACATATTGAGTAGGAATATCTTGGTTGCCCAAGGCTTCAATCATCGTTCCTGCCTCAATGGCAACAAAGCACTTCTTTAAATCAATTAATATCAGATGTAACCAGGTCACCCGTGCTCTCGCGATACTTTAACGATCCCTATAGGAGTGCGGATGTGATCGGTTGTTACCCTCTCCGAAACCCTGCTTGTTCGCATAGCTGTCATCTGATGTTCTGCTTATCCTGACTAGGGCAAGGGTAACCCGTGTGAAAAACTTATAGATCATGAACAGCTCGCACATTGAGTGAATGTTGCCAATATCGTCTGGATCAGCAATACAGTCTTGTAGCTTTTCGCGAGGTGGGCACTTTGCATCGACAGGTACCGAGTGGAGAGCTTAGCCAGATTTTTGACGATAATTGATGGAAGGCTATTAAGATGTTCTGCGTTGGTCCTGTGAGAACCGGGTGATTTTCATTGACATGTCAGAAGGGAGAAATGGATTAAAGACATATCCACCCTACGTAAGATGATAGATAGACATGGCTATCAACGAGAACCGATCGAAATCGTAAATGACCTTCTCCCTCGCCCTTTAAGATGCGGCAGCTGTTTCGTCAGGACAAAGAAGGGAAGTCATCTTGGTCTGTCAGGACAAAGAAGGGAAGTCAACTTGGTCTTGTAAGTGGCGAAGCTCCTAAAAGTTTCGCACGGTTTCTTCCCAGACTCGGCGGTTTTGTGTAGCATAGCTGCTCTTCTCTCTTTCAGATGATTCTTTATTACCTCTGCATAGCATCGTGCAATTGTTGTCACATGCTTATAGCTCGCGATTCCAAGCTGGCTATCAGAGTCTTCCAAAAGAGACTTTGCTTTCATAGCGCTATCATGAAGATGTTCGACGAGCTTCTTCCCAGACTCGGCGGCGGTTCCTTCATCAATGTTGCAATGAGGGGGCTTTCCAGAAAGTCGTGAAGGAAGCAGGGTGGGACCAGTAGAAGACTGACCTGGGGCTTTGCTTCCCGGTTTATCCTCTTCTCCTCGCATCGAAAAACAGAGTTTGGCGCAGAGGAAACGATAGTCTGATCCGACGTAGAACATCGGAGCCACAGCGACGCATGGCGCGCAGCTGGTCCTCTCGGTCAGCCTGATGACCTCAATGAGCCTCATTTTGCTTTCGCCGATCATTGGATCTATCATCATCATAAATATGTGGAGTATTTAATCTCACTCATAGAGTGAGGTTCTAATTATTGTGTGTTCTTCATGCGAATAAACGAATCTTGTGAATCGACGACTGTTTCTCCACAACACATGTATATTACTGTTTTGGCACATATACCAGTAGCTTGCCAGGCTTCGACATGGAGGCTGCGTTGACTCCGTGTTGTGGACATGTTGACTATTCTATTCAAAAGTGGACAAAAGGTTCAGATTTCGGATTTTGGCCCGGATTTAAATCGCTTCCCGGATAATTCACAGTTACTCGAATGCAAGCTCTGGGCTTAGCCGATGTGCAGGATACCCTTTGCTTCCCACACACGAGTGCATAGATGCAGAAGGTATCAGAATAAGAACACGGGAGTCATTTTTCACCCGCGTCTCTGAGCAAAAACTGGTGGCTTCGATCACTTTGAACTTACTCCCCTACCCGCCACCTGAGATCGCACCTCGTCAAAAACTGGCGATAGACCTACAATGAGAGGGGAAGATCCTCATTTATAGAGACTTGTAAAACACACGTCTTCGAGCAAGGAATCTAATGGGTGCTGCAGTGGAAAGTCTGAACATTTCCATCCGCTCGCCACGAACTCTGCTTACTCTACTTTGCAATATGCTACACAGTCTTACACCAAAGCAGTCTCTGAAAGACCTAGGCATGTTTTTCCTCGGCGGTCATGGCTTCACACAGCCTTAATGCGACCTATATGGCTTGTCTATCTCTCGGGGTCAGAAAATCCTCTCCCTCCCTTTCTTTGGAAAATTCCGCTTTCCATTGTATTAATGGAGTCCATGCTGTCAAATGGCCAAGCGACTGCACGGCCCACGCCAAGCAATTGCCTTCCCTCCTCACTGGCCTCTTCCATCTGCGTCCATGTTTCTCCACCGATAAGCTCGTGGTGGTTACTTTTCGAGTGAATCAAGATCGTGCACCATTCGTTCAATCACCAGAGTGCCGAAGCGCTTCAAAAGATGATGGCCGTGATAGTTTTAACGTTCCTACGAGTCTTCTCGCTTGGAAATGGGAACGACGGCATTACTGACCTCCTGTGAGCTGCATCTGCGATCCTTCCCGCAGCAATAGTGGTGTGTTCAGAAACTATAGGAGCAACTTCACGAAATGGCTTTTTTAGCGTTGATCTAAGTCTGCTGGAGCCGTCCTTTTCTAAAGAGTTCGATCATTACGTCAGCTTATAAGAGCCTGTGCTGCACAGACAGTTTTTTCCGGGGAGCACCTTGGTATCCTCTACATTTCGAGTTAGTCTTCCTAAGACAAACCCTCATAAGGTGGGCGATCATTGATTGCTAAGTGTGTGTTATGAGTAAAATAAAAGGCGAATAGTTCAGGATCGGTCGCCGTAGGCTGACAATTATAGATCCATCATCTTCCCCATTTCCTTTCCACTTTTACTTGCAAAAAATCCCTCAGAAGTCCCAAGCCAATTCGCTCTTTAAGAGAATTAGGAGGTAAAATAGTGGTCCTCGTTCTTTTCTGGATAATCTTTTGAAGAGCTTAAACATCAAACATAGAATCCAAAAACGAAGAAGTATGTGATTTTTCAGGTGGTCCCCTACCGATTCGCTCATTGATTCACTCACGCATCCACTTATGTATCACTAAGGCATTTCAATGCGCCCTTCACTTTTCCAATAGATCGGGGATCCAGCCTGTATAGCTCAGTGCTTCTCGGAAAGATCAAGAGTTTAGTGAGTGTGAGCGGATATCGAATTGGGACTCAGATTCCGGGTCATGAGGAAGATGCGACTTTCGTTGCTACCGCGTGTTTGTCCATAACATGGGGTTAGGGAGAAGAGAAGATGTAGTTATTAAAAACAACATGAGGGCGATTCAGATAGGTAGCGCTAATTTAAGCAATAACAATAGTTATAACAGTTAAATATATTCCTGTCTATTAGCTTAACTCACGAGCTTTATCCGCATTCTTCTCCTTCTTCTGCATCTCTTCCAGTTCGCGCTTAATCTGACTGAAGACACTGCTTCTTTGCAACAGCTCTTCGTATGTCCCTCTATCGACGATCCTTCCACCTGCAACAAGAACATCAGAGTTGAGCACAATGGTAGAGCACAATGATTCGTGATAGGTTGTTGTTTTTGGTATGATTTTTCTGATCGCCAGGAGTGATGCCTTCATTTAGTGAGTGCGAGAGACTTGAAGTCTGTAAGCCAGCGGAATCTCTTCGTTTACGTGATATTTAATTGTACAATCCTGCACTTCTAGCCAGTTATTATGTTTGATTGTCCAGCGATGGCTACGCAGAAGGCGAGTTAAACTTCTTCATACAAGATTATGAAGCTTCATGCTGTTTACGACCAACTACCTCCGAATCTTCGCATTTATTTCGGTGGTGATGTTGTTTGATGATGAAACTTGAAGGAAGTATTCGCGGCTGTGACAGTTCCTTGGTTTTCTTTTCGGTGAAAATATATGGCTGCTGAGACTGTCACGTAACGTCGGGGCAAAAAGCGACACAGATACTTTGCAATGGGGGCCCAAAAAGTTGTTCACACCTCCATTGCGGCTCAATAATTCATAGAGGGCGTGTTTAGCGTCTCCGCACAAGTAGGTGTGTTACAATACGGAGCATCTTTGATGTGGATCCAGTCAGCCATTACATCTTTGTAGCTCACATGTGTGGGTTCTTCTACTCGAGCCCGCTAGCTATAACACCGGATGATTGTGGTGGGTAAGATTTGAAGGTAACGATGTGTTGAGAAAAATTGTCGATTGTCGTTAGCATTCGAGTAGACATTCCGCTACCCATAGCTGATGCCTCTACTCTGCAGCAACTGAAATCTGTCCGAAATCCCCTACGTTGTCGTTAATTTGTCCAGCTGATATTCACCCCTGCAAAGCAGTACAAAGGTTTAGAAAATGGTCGCAAACTGTGACTTCATCTGAATGGTGCGTAAAGATAGTCCTCAGGCATCAATCCATAAACTTTTCTCAAAGGCTTAACGTTTGCAACTGACATGAGAAACCAGCCTCTTCTGTCCACAAAATGAGAAAATTCTGCAATCGAACTAAACTTGAATCACAGTAGTGTCTCCGGTCGTGGTGGACTTGTATGGGTGACCCTCAATCGAATGCATTTCAGTAGTCAGTATCCCACATGAATTCATAATGTATCAATATGAGCAGCGTTTTGCGCACCACTATTATTTTATTGCCATATTTACACTCTTTGATATTCCATCTGATTTCTGCTCTTCAGTATCATTTCATCATCAGTGTTTTACTGAGGTTTTCGCTGCACCAGTTTTAAATTCTTCTCGTTTGTGAGCAGGTGCTCTAAAAATTCTCAACCAGTACCCTCGACTTAATCTTTGACGCTTAGCAGCAACTCCACAAAAATGTCCTTCGTGGAGATATTCTGATGAATCTTCAAATTTTTCTCGAAAAAAAGGCGATATAGGTCTGATGGCCCAGATCAGAACCCAAAACATTATAGAAGGAAGGGGAAAATGGACACGAGGAGCGGTCTAACTTTTTTTCAAGCCTCTTCAAGGAACATATTTCACTCGAAGAAAAATGTCGAAGCGTGTGCCGCTTGCGAACAGGAAATGACATTTGTTATTTCTTTTTAATCGCTTCTCATCGAAACGCTTATGAAGCCCCTCAAACCTACTTGGATGCTTTCATTTGCTCGGAGAGGGCCCTTTTCGTCGAAGGAGCAGATACATTCAATTTGGCAGTTATTTTTCTTTAGCTTCTGCAGGTTGCGAGACGTGATCACCACCTAAGAGCGCGATCGGAAAATGAGTCGTAACGAGTTAAGACAACCAATTCAAGACTTGTCGTTAGCTTACCCGACATAGCGATTCTGTAGACTACCGTGCGAGAAATCTTGCAACGATGGGCGACAGAATAGGATTCACTAGGTGGCGCACAGACCGCAGTAGGCTGCTGGATGAAGGCAAGGCTTCGTCATTTCGGGAAACTGGCATTTGATAGCATCAGAACGGATGTGCGAATTAAGCTATATCGTGAACATACACGAAATGGCAGATGCGTGAAATCTATCCAACCAACGATACCGCGAATTCAAAGTTGTTGTAGAGTTGTCTTGTTGTTGTTAGTGTACGGTGTACTCTGTATAAATCTCCGTCAACGGAACATCGCCTTTTTCGATTATTGCTTTATTTCGTATTAACATCTATAAGTAGATGAAGAACGGTTAAAAGCCTAGAAAGGTGTGAAAAAACTGAATGAGTTCATGCTTCAGAGTGCAAATCTCTACCCTATTGCTTGTCGAATCATGAACCTTGGAAGACAATTGGTCGGCAAAGAGCTTTGATGCAGATCTCTATGCATCTAACATTCCAGGTACCATGAAACGGCTTAACCAATGTCTACGTGGGAGTGGAGCCAAAGATATTGAATATTTCAATTTCGCTGAATTCCCCGTGAGCGGAGCTTTCCAAAGCCCTCCTTTCTTCCTTAAACGGAGTACCTTAGCGCCGTTCTTTCCTGAGTGCCTGAGACAGCACATCCTTCTTGAAACTTGTAAAAGTGCGTAATAATTCTGATATGCATCAGTCTGCGCAACATTCAAAACTCGGAATCACTGTACACACGGCCTTACTCGTGCTCCTTTTACTGGGCTGAATCTATTTTCTGATAATTTTTGCTAGTGGATACGTATGGGCCTGCCGAAGCTAGATAGACTCAACGACGGCGATCATAAAGTGTGCCTCGCTCCGTAATCCTATGACAGCACTTCAGCGAAGTATCTTTAAAAGACACGGCATCACTCATAAGGCGTATGAACGCGTATTGCAGATTGCAATTACCGCTCGATGCGAACGAAGTGGTACCATTCACCTAAGAAGTATCAAAGAGGGGAAAGAATAGAAGATATACAAAAAAGTGGAGCGAATTTCAACATTCAGTCTTTGTAAGAGTCCCGTGCTTGTCAATGCGCTTTCCCTAGAATAGTTTCACCACCATAATTATGCTCTGTCAAGCTCTAGTTACCGCTGGTGTTTCATACTTGCGCAAGGACCATCGGCCTCAAAAGCTAGGGAAAGGACAAAGGACACATGTAGTAGTGTTCATGCTCACTCTGCACGAAATTTCATAATATTCACAGGATTTCTTCCTTACGCAAAACCATCGACCATGTAACTTTCTACCCCTCGGAAGGCAGCCAACACCGGGTTACCCTTCTTTCTGTCGGAACTCGCTATGCCTGGGCACCTGGGAATATTGAGTGACTCTTCATGAACGGTAAACTTTAATCTTTGCCTTCGGGCTAACTCCAGCAGCGGTGCACCGATAATCCTACTTTTTGATACTATGGGTCTCGCGTTATGTAGTCTCTTATCAGTCCTCATCAGCTGTGATAACTGTCTGTCACTAGCTAATCAGCTACCTCACTGATCCTTTCACATCCCACATCCCACCAACGTTTTTTTTACGAAAATAAAGTTGACAGATTTACCGAACTTCATCTTCTTCAAAACCTTGTCGGCCTTCATCGACCCTTATTGTAGCCAACATTCTTTAACATTCATACAATGTACTCGGGTATGAAAGCTGCTCTGTCAATGAGAAAGGGGAATGTAAACCTAACAGATCACAGTGTAGTATTCCATTCACTCAGTTCACCTCTTCCCTCCCCACAACATAGTGGTTCCGAAGTTGATACCAGTGCAACAGAACCTGGAACTCTTTCCTCTCTCTTTCCTTCCGAGGTCCTTTGTTACTTCTTAACTTTTATTAACGATTTCTATCGCCCGTAATCTATTATCCCATCAGAATCAACATGACGTCCTGAAGTGCTGTGGATAAGCTGTTGATGCGGAAAGCGCTGCTGCTCGAATGAACTCCATTTACTTGAATGTCTTATCGGCCATTGTCAGTCATTATCACTCTCCACTTACCATTGTTTCCATTAAACCTCATGTTTCTGCTCCGCATTTAACGTTCCCATCTATAGGTTAAAACTCGGGCTGAAGGACTCCTATTCAAACAAACACAAGCGGTATTCAGTATTCACACAGAGACAAGTAAACAGATCAGCAGGTCAACGGAACACTTAGAAAATCGTATCTTAAAGAAGAATTACTTCATAGTTCCTGCTCCAAGCGCGTGACAGTGACTTCACCGGGCACTCAACTGACTATGCACTATGAAAGTGATATTAAGAGGAAATCAGAGGTCGAGGTCGACCTACACGATGCTGGTTCGGGTCAAGTGTACGATTCCTTAAGTCAAGACAGCATGAGCATACGCATGGCAATTAAATGGTAAAATGGTGAACTAAATATAATTTCAGTTAGGAATACATGACGGACAGGAGAACATGCGTCACTGTGGGCAACAAGATAGGATTGCTTTTTACAAAGAGAGAAGAAGAAAGTTGTTGGCATCAACGTACCATCCATCACATGAATTATAGTAGCGTTTTTCGTGAATCCAATAGAATGTGTAACGAGAATCACAGTCTTCGCCGCGAGAAGACCACCTGGACCTAGTAACTGAATTGACGCAAACTTTTTAAGAGAGCGGTGTATCTCACTAAAAGGAGAGCTTCTAACCTTTTCATATATGCTCTTAGCAACGGTGGCATCCACTGCAGAGAACGGGTCATCCAGAAGGAAAATATCGCTGTCCTGCAATATCATAAAGTACTTTGGTGAACTTTGATTCAATCGCTCCTAATGATAACGAGGCAAAACTTCTTATAGCCATGCACTTTTGAATCGCCTCGCCTCTGAGTAATAAAAATAAAGAGAGAGACAAATGAAACTCATCAGGGAACAAAATTCAGAGGCTGTACAACTCAGTGCAAACGGTTACTGCTCACCTTCTAGAGTAAAGTAGGATTTAAGTTTCTCGCTCACGTTTGAGGTGATCAAAATTATGAGACCGCTCCGAATTTTCTAAGGTGAATTTGAACGAGTATGCTAACAGTCGCATGAACAATGTGTGCATGGATGACGAGGTCTCACTACGGGATATTTCCTTTAGCCTCAACAAGTTTAATTGGTAAGTCATGTATTATATTTCGATAATTTTAATGCAAATGATTACAAAGTGGCTGGTGAATGTCGAGTAGAGTAGCACCAAAGCAAGTTAACACATTGACGATGAGAGCGTTTTCCGTTTGCGCGCTCACGGGACGAGTGAAGGCGCTGACTAATCGTCGGTCATCATTGACGGACATCGTCCCACGGGACAGACACCATATTTAGTTTACTGTATTCATAAGTAATAAGCTTCTATTTGTGTGAAACAAGTAAAAACTCTTGAAAACAAAAGGAAAACTTGTATTCTGTCAAAATTTGGGTGAATTCTCCAAAGTCATGCGCTTTGTAGATCATTTCGGGGTATAAGGCTTTGGATCGTGAACATTCCAGAGGGCACTATTCAAACGATTGGTGGGAACAGGATTAGAGGTATTACGCCAATTGTTGGAATAGGTTCAAATTGGTCGTGGATAACAAAAAAAAACTCCTGGAGCCTCAAAGCTGATCGTCAATATTTCCATAAAAACCTCAGATTTAGAACGATCATGGGTTGACACTGAAGTTAATGAGTTTGTAAATAAATGTAAAGTTTGAAACAAAAAAAACCTGAGCTTTTCTTCATTTGGCTGACTTACAATACTGTCGGTCACCCTTGACCCACATCCATCGTCCCACAAGACAGACTGGCTGTCGGTCAACATTGACCGACATTGTCGTCAACGTGTTAAGGTTTGAAGATCTTGATGTCACTTTGAAAGAAAAGCTCATTTTCCAGCCTATCGGCAGTCAAGTTAAGGGAGCGCCTGACGCTTTATTACTGATAATGTGGAATGCGATATGATCCAATTCATCCTTGATACTGCACATGCGGAGCGTGTGTACTACCCCATCTAGATTAATGCTCGCAGATGTAGAGCCCATGTCACGGGAAAGGCTCTTTTAAGCCAGAAAGACTTTGAAGGCACAGTTCGCGACACAAAAGGTTCCTGTAATTTCTTCATAGTATGACTTCGAGGTGTAAATGTCAACCCTCCCCTTACTNCCCCCCCCCCCCCCTAGGCTTGCTATGAAATCTGATTGGAACCAGTGTTTGCATCCGAGCAACATTGGTAAAAAATCAACCAGCTGATCATTGTAACGTATGTTATCATATTTTAGACTATTCTCTTATTCTACTGCTGCTCCTTGTAAATAGTATTGTTCTAAATACATATTCTGTTAAGCAGAAAATGAGAAAGTAACGCGTAAGGGTAACAAAACGACCTATGCCACGAACATCAGCTGGTTGGAAAACAGTTTTGGAAACTTAAAATCTCTTCCATGCAGGTTTTGTGGTCGCATTCCCGTTCAACCCTTGGTTTTAGTACTTTTTTGAAGCCTCATATTACTTTGAATACGCCGATTCCGGAGTTTTTTTCTTTAACTTTCCCACTACTCTGGATTGCTAGTTCCATCAATTGTTGAAAACCGAATACCCCGAAATACTGAGTGAGCTAATCTTGCCTTACTATAGAATCAAATACAATGGTTGTTCTATTTTCAGGCTCTGACGAAGGCGAACTAGCCGGAACGTTAGCCTTATAAAGCTTGAAATCTTGGAAAGGCTGAAAAAAGCATACAACTTAGTTCAAGGTTATACCATGATTGAGAGAATGTCAATCGTGGTATGCTCTACAAGACGTACCAGCCAAATACTTTCGACTCATAGGAGAAGTCATGTCATTGCGGCAGAAAATCGTCGCAACAAGACAGACCATTCACTTTCTGCATCGCTGTCCACGTGCCTCCGCCGTGCCAAAGTTCATAAAAAACGACTGCACAAGGCTTGTGGACTTTCAAAGGACTCCAACACGTACGATCAATCGAGCAACAACTACTCAAGATGGCAATACGATCAAAGCTTGATCAATTATATTCAGTTTGTGCAAGTGTATTGTTAAAAAGGAGTGTTGTGAACGAACGTCTTTGGACGAAAATAGTGGGTGAGTCAAAGAAACTTTGCGATTTGATCCAAAGTAAGGCAAAGACCAGGATGAAAGACAAGTTCGACAGGCTGGTAGATCAACAACGGGTGCGGGGAATACAAGTAGTGCCTACTGATTACCATAACATTGAGGACCACCATACTCCAAACAAGGCGGAGCACATATTCAACTCTCGAGCCACTCTTTTGGGCAGCATGACCCTATTTGAAAAAGATTCCGCTCTGCTCTACATTTCACATTTCACCTAAATTTTACCTGTGCACGAAAGTAAAATTTCATTCAGTGATCATGAAGCTTCCCTTTAAACGCCTCGTTATCTTATCGTTGTCATCACCTACAGTTATTTACCTTTTCTCGCTCGATAATGATATGTAACAATGGAGTATTCACACTTAACTGAGATCATCTCTCGTCGAAGTGATAAACGACTCCAGCCGCATGAAGGTTCGCGCCCCGTACTTCCAGTAGGGGCAGTAGCTTCTTTCTCGTTACCCAAATGCCACGAATTTCAAAGTCTCTCTTGAAAGTATTTCCAGAACCCTATGGCTATTGCTAGCAAATCAAAAGTAAGAATTTGAAAAATCCTGTATGAGCATGGCAACATTCTCGAAGTGGACACGAAGCGATCACAATACTCAAGCATTGTAAAATCATGCAATCTCGAGATCTAAGGAACATCTATGCTGATAGCTTGGAGTAAATCACTGGTTTTGTGAGGAAGTTCTTTAATTAGAAATCCGGGAGCATTAAAATTTTGTCTAGACTTTGCGAAAATTGTATTGAATGAAACCCGGTGGGCAATCAGAATTGAGTGGACAAAGCCATAGAAACGGACTTTCGCAACTTTGTTATTCATGATTGAGTATAACCATTTTGCTTTACTTCATGAGTAACGCCAAGGGAAGGGACCGGCTGAAATTTTTTTACAATACATTTGGTGGAAGCACTTCTCGCTTTTCATGTCAACAAGTGGCTCATTCCGTTTGCTACAGGAAATACTGAGCTCCCAGGTAAGCAACCTTCTCTCAGGAACCTCAAAAGACTCATCTACCATTAGGTGCTGGAAAGACGAGGTGGTACCACTACATATCTCGATCAACCCAACCACAGCGAGAGAATGACGTTCATAATCTTAACAAGAAAGATACAGTTCGATAATGGGCACAAGAATATTTCATCGGAGACCTGTCAAAAAATCACCCTCGGTTACTCGTCCGCCATAGTTCTCAGACGTTGCGCTATTCGATTACTATCTACTTCGCATGCTTTAAGACCGGTTTTTAGAAAGTGGTTCGTAAGTAAAAGAGAACTACGTTCTCAAGTGAAAACTCTTCTGACACTTAAAGACACAGCTCACGATAAAAATGGCTCCAGAGATTTTCATGTGGTATGGATTCGGGGCTCCCTCTAATACCATATGTCCCGAAATGAGGTCGTAAAACGTTCTGAGCCGTTCACCACTTTCGCATTGGAGCAACATTAGTGAACAATCGATAAGCTGATTGGCAAATTGCCACGGACGGGCATGTCGATTGTGCTGCATTCGCCGACTAGTGTTTTATATTCGATCGGATATTCTATCCTGCTACTACTATTCGCTTTTACTCAGCTGTAATGATTATTCATAGTAACTGCGAGTAGATCAGGTAACTCAATTACGTATGAGGATTCACATGATGGTTTTTTGCGCGCAAATTTGTCTGATTATTTTGATAATGATAATAATTATTTTGATTATTTTTTATACGCGAAATCTTTAGTTTAAACTTGATGGGGTGTTTTCAACAGATGATGAGAACATTCCTCAGAATCGTTTTAAAAATTGCAAAGATGTTTCGGATCAGGTGTTGCTTGCAATTCTTTTCTATTCCCCGGATACCTGTGCATGCTCATGTATTATTGATCGTTTATTATTATTATCCATCTGTTTTGCATGTTCTTCATAAAGGGTCATTGATGTGATCGCGTTCAATGTCAAGAACACTCTTTGACCTTGATTTGAAGAACTACGTGCGGTTTGAACCTATATTTGCATGCATCCCCTCGAAAAATCACTGTGCTAAATTTAGTTTGAAAAAATTTCGTATGTTACTCTTTTTCTTGTGAAGTTGGTTAGCGATATATTCGTAGAAGTCTTATTGTTCAAAACTACTGCTGTATTCTGTTACTGAGTTGTTTTCTTTAACTCTTCACGAGGTTGGTATTCA